AGAGATGAATCTCATAGTTTATTAGATATAATCCGTGTAAAGTTTGCTTATCATTTTCGCATAAATTATGACCTAAATTTGGAAACCGCTGAATTTCTCGAATTGGGTCTTTGCGATTTTGGTGAAACTCTCTTCAGCGCAAGGCACCAATGCGCACGATGTGTAGCCGAGAGATTTTCACGAAAAAATGCCGGCAACAGCAGATTTTCGACTCAGACCTCAAAGGGGCGTGGCATGATAACCACGTGACATTTACTCTGATCGCCAAAAATTTTATGTTATATTGTAGATTAATCTATATGTTATCCATTCTATGTGTTAGACTTACGATAAAAGTAAAGGTGGGGATACCAGAGAGCTTCAAAGTAGGATGGTACCCCCTAAAAAAAACTGGGTCGAGTCACCTTAATAAAGGGAAAAAAGGTGCCTTTTTTTTCCTATAACTTCAGCCCTTTGCTATCTCTTTTATGTTAAAAAATGGTCTTGTGATAAGAAATGTTATGTCCTCTGTTTTTTGTGGAATGTTTTGCTTTTTTAAGATCAAAAAAATATATATACTATAAATATAGCAAGATGTTTTGTCGGAGTCGTTTCCCAACATACCTGCACGAGACAGACTCGTACCCAGTCGCTATTTAAGTGTTTTTTGGGGTGAGAGAAGATTGGAGATTAGGTTGAGGCGCGCGCCTGGTCTCATGGGAAGGGGAGAAGGAAAAAAAGTGAGTCGCTATTTGTCCTTCTTCCCTTCCCATGAGACCACGCGCGCGCCTCAACCTGACCCCCAATCTTCTCTCATCCCAAAAAACACTTAAAAAAACAATTAAATAGCGACTGGGTACGAGTCTGTGCACGAGACATCACCTGCACAAATCCAAAATTCACATGTGAGTATTAAAACATGAATGGCGAGATGTCAGCAAAATCCTGTTATTTCAGATCAAACAATAACTATTTCAGGAAGTGCTCTCACTCGCATCTATGGACTAATTATGAAATAATTTTTTTTTGCAGTAACACGGCGTTAATCCAGTTGATCGTCTTAAATTTTTCGTTCAATCGCTGCTCTTTGCACTTCCAAGCCCGCAGCCGACAATGTGTTGATGATTTTTGCTTTTTCTAACAGATGTTCCAAAATACTTTTTTCCCAACGAGGCTGTTAGCCGTAATAATCTCGAAGAGATGCAAACCTCCACTCCGAGCTGAGCTGTCAATCGTGATACTTTTAAAGCTACCGATTTCTGTTTGTTGAACTCCAGGTCGGTTAGGAACATATCTAGCGTACTGAAAGACTTCGTTGTAGACAGGAATATTGATCTTCTTGCATTCAGACCGAAACGTGGCTCAAAGTGTCAATTGAAATGGATTCCCTGATAAATCTTGGCGCAGCATTTCATAACTTAGGTGCAGCAAACAGAAAGGCCCGTTCACGAAGATATGCCTTGGGCTTAATTAACATTCTAATAGGTAAGTAGGGTACTGTCGCTAGAACTTCAGCCTTAAATTATATTCTGATACAGGCTTTGGAGTAATTAAAAAACTTAAGTACAAGAGTGCTAAGCCCTTAAAAATCTTAAAAAACGATCACAGGATTTTAAATTCAATTCTGAACTTTACAGGCAGCCAATGTAAATCTACTAAAGAAGGAGTAATGTGACAATATTTACTTTCATTGCATATTTATCTAGCACACATGTTCTGCACACGCTGTAGCTTATTGAGTTGATACTCCAGCAGGCCATATAAAAGACTGTTACAGTAATCGACTCTGCTTGAAATAAAGGCATGAATCAGAGTCTTGGTGTTGTCTTAAGATAGATAGTTTCTTATATGTCTCAGATTATACAAATAATAGAAGGCAGACGGAGTTACATGTCTTTAAAATATGGATTGCCATCGTCAGCTTAGAATCAAATCACGAGCCCAAGTTCCTTGCAGACGACACAGGAGTGATAGTTGCAGTCCCAACACGAAGGCTGTTAATAGATACTTTAGCTAGTTGCTGCGATGTGCCAATGATCATGAATTCAGTTTTATCATCGTCCAGTTTCAATTTGTTGTTCAGCATCCAGTTATGAATGTCTTCAATACACCTTTCGAGCCTATAGCTAGCCAAGGCGGCCTCTTGATTAGCATTATCGTTAGGACAGAAGGATAAATATAGTTGGCTATCGTCCGCATAGCAGTGGATCTCTAAATTATGTTTGCCAACAATTTCATATATCCTGCTAGCATAGACAACAAACAACAAAGGCCCGAAGCACGAACCTTGAGGTACGTCGCATTCCAAATCAAACTTCGTTGAGAGTGTGCCGTCGATTGAAACTTGCTTAGTTCTGCGACTTAAATATGATGCAAACCAGGTCAGTGCCGTATCCCGAACTCCAAATGCAGACCTAAGCCTCTCAAGTAATATACCGTGATCAATGGCATCATATTACATCCAATCTTTACACTGGCTCCCTGCGCGCTATACAATTATTTTTAAAATATTGTTACTGACTTATAGGGCTCTAAACGGTCAAGCAGTTAGCTATCAAAGATCTGCTGAAGTATAGGAACTCAGGCCGCGTTTTACGATCTTCAAACAAGCATTATCTTGACGAGCCCGTGGCTAAATTAAAAATCTATGCTGATAGGGCATACTCCTTTGCTGCTCCAAAATAGTGGAATAAGTTACCGTTCCATGTGAGATTATTGTATTTAGATTCGGTTTGTATTATTACTATTATTTATCCACTTTGCTATCCATTGGTAACCAACAAAGGTGAAAGGAGTTTGGCACTGCCCCATCAAGTAACCTAAGAACTTACATGTGTAAATAACAGACAAATGTCGACGAAAGAAAGAAAGAACTTACTTGCCCTATGTTTCCATCGCAAAAAGTGGTTGTGCCGGAAGTCGAGCTATCTTGTTGTGTTGCAAAAGATGTAGCCTGTTCCAGGCTCCAAGAAAGTCGGATCCGCTGAATTGAGAAAACCGGAACACGAGAATAAAACGGGAGGAAACTAATTCCTTTTTCTCGCCCCGCCAACTTTTCGCGTGCCTTTCACTTTCGCGTCTGCCCTACTATCTGAGAGCCTGGAACAGCCTATAAAAGATGTGGGCGGAAGTGCGTATTTCCGTTTCTATGGTAAAGCGAGAAGACTCAGTGAACTTGAACGTAACCTGGGTGCGGCTACTGAGACGAAGGAAAACGAAGTAAACATGGCTCAAAAAACCATCTTTGTGCAAACGGATCCTTCCTTTGATATAGTTCTTCGATCTTTGAATGAGCTGAATGCCCAAAGACGCCTGCAAGTCACGCATCATCAAACTGCAGTGATACCGCGAATCCGAAGCAATAACCCGCATGACGACAACAGATGTTTATTTGGCGCAGAAAATGAAAGTTGTATTCAATCGTTTGCACGTACCGCCTCAGCAGTTGCACGAATGTGTATGTTACGGGCGACAAACGTCGATGAAAAGCATTGGCCGAAGATTGGAGCTCTGTCTGAGTCAAGAAACAAGGCAACGTTGCATTATCAAGAGCAAAACCAAGCGCATGGAGGGAATTTCACACTGGCACAGACCCCGGCTCAGGCAAAAAGGTATTACAGCAAGTACGACCATCTCTACCCACACTTTCTCATTGAACATGAATTCAGGTCCGTAGGAGCAAATCATGAAGTATTTTTACCCAGTATGATGTTGATAATCGACTCCGATTTCACTCAGGTCGTTGAGATTACTACAACCTTTCGCGCTAAACGACTTCCTGACGTAATAAATCTGTTTCAAGGCTACATCCATGTGGTCTGCATCGTGCGTTCAATAAACAACCTCGAGGGCAAAAGTGACGAGGAATTCACACAGCTTCTGAGACGTTTTGTACAAGGAGATTCAGATGGCAACCGCTTTTCAGTCAAGAAGGAGTATTTTGAAGTATTAAGCAAGGCAACTAAGAAGAAAGGTTTGAAACTTCCTGATCTTTTTGAAAACCTGAACATCTGCAAACTAAAAAAGGAAGAAGAGAGTGAAGAAGAAGATGATGAAGAAGAAGATTTGTAAGACGTAGAAATTCTCGTATTTCTTTGGGATTTGTTTAGTGTTTTTATTCAAGCCGTTAGGAACTAGTGACTCTCAACTTTTACTTTTTAAAATATAGAAATATCGCATGAATAGCTGTTTGTAGAACTTAGCCAAGACAGATTCGGTGATTTTACTAAAGCCATTAGTGACCCATTAGTTAAAGTCAAACAGATCATGATAACTGAAAGGAATGTAGTAAGTGCTTTATATTTCATAACATTCTATTCCGCTTATATGGTGCAATTTGTTACTTTGAACCCAATTTGTACTGCTTTTTTTAATTGCATGAATTTCTACAGTTGACTCATCCTCCATCGTGGGAAACGCTATTTACTAATAGTTAATTCATGCAATTGATCCTTGAATATTAAAGCATTTGTGTCATAACAATGGAAGAGAAGTAAATACTTTATTTAGTGGGATGATTTAAGTTCCAGGCAAATCACAAAATCTGCAAGACTATTTTCCAACTCTTTAACCAATTTTAATTACTTCCTGTTATAACCTACACTTCAAGAAAGATCCTTGAATAACACTCTCTCTCTTTCCGCTCTATAACCTGCTTCATCGATGTTGGGTACAATTGCATTTTTCGTAAATTTTTGATGTAGACAAAAAACCAGCCCCATACATTTCATTGTTAACAGTAAAAATTCTGCAAGGTCGAAGCCCTCATTTAAATTAGTTTGAGGCCAATTGTCACGAAACTTCACAGTTCTACTTATTAAAATTCTGCTTGATAAATAATGATCCAAGTTGGTAGTTTTTTGTTTGAATAATAAAAGACATGAAAAATGTAAATTTTGCGTGATTTCTGCGAAACGGAGAGTGGATTGCTAGTGGGTGTGAGACACAGTTACTTCCTCTCTTTCGTAGAATAAAGGGAAGTTTGCCATTGTAATTCAAATAGACTGTAAACAATCGCAAACTTCCCTTTAACCTTAGAAGGACTGTTTAATGCTTTCATTTGGCACGTTGCTTTTCCTGCATTATAGGTATGTGATGTAGGTGATATAGGGGTCTACAAAACATACACAGTTTGTAAAGGCGTCCTATTTTTTAATAAGGCTACCCGAATATTTACCAGAAGTACAATGGAAGTACAATTTATCAACAAAGGATTAGACTCAGAGCCAGTTTTGTAGTACGAAACAAAATTGTAATAAAATTCCTAGTCAAATGGTAATCTCGCTCTAGTCCTTGAGCAGTTCTGTATCAACTTAAATCAGGAGCCCTTGTTGAAAGGTGCTCGCTAAGTTTTCGCTTGAACCATAGTTAATTGAGTGGAATGGTTATGAAACCCGTCAGACTCCTTTGTTATATGTTTTTGTGGACCTGAAAGTGCACAACGTTCAAAAGAATTCCTATCATTTTGATTGTATTGACCAATAAAAACGTTGCATTAATTTATTCCGTAACAATTTGCCAACAGAAAACAAAGGATTGTGCACTTTCAGGGTGCTTCCAACATAAACTGCAGCACTGTTGTTTTTATCATTGATGTTTGCCGCTTTTCATAACCAGTCTCCTCTAATAACTATGCTTGAACACGGGCTTTGTAGCCGCAAAAAACCAGGGGGCTTGCCGTCTTGCTAGGTGTCAGCAGAGAGCCCAGACCTATCCGTGGGTGGGTGGCTGACTTGTTTTGTGTCAGAACCAGGGGGATAGGGAGGGGAGATTTTGTCACTTTGATTAGAGTTTCATGTCAGAAAGCAGAGCAAAGTCAGAGAATTTTTCCTGTGGGCTAGTCCAGCCAAATCAATGCTGTGACTCACAATCTTAATATCACTAGCAGAGCTTGCGGGAAGTGATTGACTAGTCATAAGCTTCATGGGTGGGGAGAGTGAGTAGTTGCTCCTTGTACTTGGCTGTCCAGAGACTCAGTAAAGGCATCTTGTATGAAATCCACACGGATATATTTTTATACAAAAGATGTAACTCTGCCGATTTTCACGCACTAAGCGGTCATCGTATTTTAATATATTTTAATTCTGCTGCTGAGCTAATCTCCCATTGTTTAAAGCGAACAATTAGCCAATAGGGTCGCAGGAATCATGTAAGGTGTAAAATTGACTTGATCCCAAGCTCCTTGTTATCAAGGTTTCTTTCGTTATAAAGACCGCTGACAAGCCTTTAGGCAATATTGCATTGATCAAACAACAGTTCTGAGCAGTGTGTTTACACCATCCGAATCACTTACTACGATGTACACAGTCTTGTTTGTTTTGAACAAAGTAGCCCTAAGGAAAACGCACAACTGATCGTTCATCAGTCTGCACTTTTTTATGTGTACTTGACGAAAACCGTTGGTTTTGCCGTATACCAAGTTACAGGTAATTACATTCACAGCCGGAAAATCCCGATATAATGAAGTGCCCGCGGGGTGCCGGGGACAGGGGACCGTGTTTCGTTACGTTTTCCATACCTGTCACTGTAACTGGAAGAAAGTCTACGTTTTAAAGGTTTTTTTTTTCCAATACAACTTTATTGAACCAACACACGTACAGTTAACATTCACAAAAGTCAATCTGCAACAAAACGAAAACTACAACTTGAAGCTGACAAAAAAGAAACCTAACACAATAAAAAACATTAGTGGTAACTAAAATTAACTGGGAGCGCGATCAGTTAAGTAAGCTGAATTTCATACGTATTTAAAAGAGACGAAAAAACAGACCATTTTGTTCTCAAATCTTTTTCGCGGCCAGTCGTACAAGAGATATATTTTTCTAGACTAATTTTATCACGAGCTAGGGAAGAAAATCATTAAAGATGTAAAATTTACCGTTAAGAGCTTTTACGTAAAGAAAATACTTTCCTATAATGACTAAATGATTGAGGACTAAACAGAATTTAGAATCGTTATTAATAATGCCAAACATAATTTCTTTTATTGAAAGCGATAATTTTGAGTATACCATGCGCGAGGCCCAATCCAGAAACTCCTTCCAGTGGCTTGCGCGCACTCAGTGAAAAGATGAATGATGGTGTGATCTGCTGGACAAAAAGGGCAGCGTGGGGAGCCTTCTTTCTTCATTTTAAATAATAAGCTCTTAGTGCACAGAATATTGTGAAAAATTTTGTACCGGAACATTGATAGCTTTACTTCTTTTATTACTTCAAAAGGCAATAGATATAATATTCTCACATCATCCTTCTGGTAGCCAAAATTTAAGAGGCTTTTCTCACAAGTCGGCGGAGGCTTTGATCGAAGAGACAGCAGCTTAGTATAAATTTTTTTGCAAGTCATTTCCTCTACTGTACCAAAATTATTATATCTCGGTGAGCATTCGGAAGTCAGCCAAGCGCGGTCATTGCACGCGTGCTGAACAAGAATGCTGTATCATGACAGACTAGAAACAATAGACAACTCCCAAAGCACAAACTCAGCCAAAATGCTAAAAATCTTCAATGTTTACTCAAGTTTGGGCTTATAGAAGGTAATGTCACAGTTTTTCAATGACCATGAAATTCAGAGTCCGAGTAGTTAGTTAATCAATTGTGGCGCTGAAAAAATTTGAAGGAAAAAAAACTACGAATTTTTAAGAAAATGCTTTTTTCGCGAGGACTCTTAAATGCTGACAAACGTCAACAAATAGCGAAAACTATAATTTCTATATGTTTGCTTTGCTCGAAATCGCGCGCATTTACAAGGCCCTAAAGCGTTTTGCTGACTTGCAAGGACCCATCTGTTATAACGATGCCCAAAATAAAGAGATGAATCTCATAGTTTGTTAGATATAATCCGTGTTAAGTTTGCTTATCATTTTCGCATAAATTATGACCTAAATTTGGAAACCGCTGAATTTCTCGAATTGGGTCTTTGCGATTTTGGTGAAATTCTGTTCAGCGCAAGGCACTAATGCGCACGATGTGTAGCCGAGAGATTTTCACGAAAAAATGCCGGCAACAGCAGATTTTCGACTCAGACCTCAAAGGGGCGTGGCATTATAACCACGTGACATTTACTCCGATCACCAAAAATTTTATGTTATACTGTAGATTGATCTATATGTTATCCATTCTAGGTGTTAGACTTACGATTAAACTAAAGGTGGGGATACCAGAGAGCTTCAAAGTAGGATGGTACCCCCTCAAAAAAACTGGGTCGAGTCACCTTAAGGTGGCTCGATATAGTTTTTCAAGGTCAATACCTCCCAAGTTTGAGCGTAAACTGCGTCGCCATAAACAAGGATTTGGAAAAATTGACACCACAGTTGTATTAGATAAAGAAGAAAATTGGTTATGATCAGGGTAAAAATGACATCGGAGTTGTCATAGCAACGAAATGACGCCATTACCTATTTTAATTCCAGCAGTATTTCTCGGCACTGGGAACTGTTCTTCCAAAATCGTTTACTGGAGCTTTTACCTACGATAGCTGCCTCGATGTTCGTGAAGTTTAAGCGAAATCTGTAAGAGCGTTATCGAGATATTTTGGGATGAAGTTTTTCTGGTTAGAAATACGGTAAAAAATTGACAATCTTGATGTTCGACTGTTATCTGTACTAAACGAAGCGCTTTTGACATGCAATTTCACCTCATAGTAGTTTCAATCTTTTTAAAAACCTGTGCGAAAGATCATGGAGATACCTCCAGCCGATTGCTAGAAAGGAGGATTTGATTAGTATGTATCAAGGCACTCTTGTTAGCGGAAATGTAAACATTTCGGTCTACTTTAACAAATTAGCGAATAATTTTTAAACCGCTCGATAAATTTTTTAGAAAATTTAAGAATCTTGAGATTAACCCTCCTTTTATATGACCTCTTAGTTTCAAGATTATTGATATATTGTAAGGCAGTAAAATAAGGGCTTGAATTCGCTAACATTTTGTCAGACATTTTGTGTTTACAAGTGAGAGCCTCTCATTATTCAGGGGTATTGTCTCCAAGTTTCATATTTTCGTGCATAACAATAGCTAGCAGTTTTGCATATGTCAAATGCATTGTTAGTTACTGCTGTTCACGTGAAAATGAA